AATGGGTTGAGAATACAGAAAACCCATAAAAGAAAAACTAGGAATGGCCAATGAACAGCTTTTTAAAATATAATAATGAAATAAATGTAAGGAAAGAAATGCAAATTTAAACAATGAGATTTAAATTTTTACCTATTAGATTGGCAAAGCTCTTTATTTTTAGTGGTGAGTGCTGATTGCACATTTGGAGTCACCTGATAAAGCCAACACTAACTGTGTTCTGTGACACTGAAATTCCTTTCCTAATTTCTCCTAAAGAAACCTTTGCATTTGGGCTTAAGAAAGACACATTTGGTAATGTCTATAACATCCTTGTTTGTAATAGCAAACATTGGAAAGAGCCCAAATATCCATCAATAGACAAATAAATATGGAAAGTGTAATATAGTCATGTAATAGAACACTGTACAGCACTAACAAATGATTTTAGCTACGTGTAGCAACGTGGATTAGCATAAAGCTGAGTGTATAAAATTAGACACTGATTCCATTCATATAATTTTTATGACGTTTTGTGATGTTCGAAGTCAGACTATCGGCTCCCTTTGGAGGGACATAGTACCTGGGAGGGGCCCAGGAGGGCTGCCAGAGTGATAACAATCTTCTGTGCCTTGATCCAGGGGCGTGTTCACTCTGAGAAAATTCACCACGCTGAACACTTACGATGACTGTGTGTTTTCGTACATACGATATAATTGATCGATACAATTGTTTTAAAAGAAAGTCATAAAAGAGCACATACGTAAAGTACAATTTTATTTTTATAAAATAGCATGCAGAACTAAGTCGTGTGTGTTAAGGGGTACACGCACATGTGGTAACAGTAAAGCAAGGGACTAGCGGGGACTCAATTCTGGCAGCCGATTCTTCTGCAGAGGAGGGCAGGGATGCGATTGGACAGCGGGGCTTCTGGGTAATTGTGACGTTCCAGCTCTTAAGCCAGGTGTTAGAGTCACGGGTGTTTTATTAGTCTTTAGGTTCTTCACGTGTTTGAAATGTTGTTTTCATATTTAATATTTAATTGAAACAAATGTTTTAAACTGCTCACTGATCCCCCCCCCAGTCAAAAATTTACATAAAACTTTTGACTCTCCAGAAACTTAACTGCAGCTGTTTTTAGGGATCCACAGGGGGTTGGTTCAAGCACCCCTTGTGGATTTCCAGTGGAGGATCCAAAACGCTGTTGTTCTAGCCACAGTTGGTCGAATCCACGGATGCAAAACCCAGGGAAACAGAAAGAAATCCATGTATAAGTGGATCCATGCAGTTCAAACCCATATTGTTCAAGGGTCAACCGTATTTTTATGTGTAGGAGCATAAGTAAGAGTCTGTGGCGTCTGTCAAAATATTAATAAGGTGACTCTTTTTTAAAAAGATTTATTTCTTTTTTTAATTTTAATTGTTGTTCAAGTACAGTATTTATTTTTTGAGAGAGGAGAAGGGAGGGAGAAAGAGAGGGAGAGAAACATCAATGTGTGGTTGCCTCCCTCCTGCCCCCTGCTGGGAACCTGGGCCGCAACCCAGGCATGTGTCCTGACTGGGAATCCAGCTAGTGACCCTTTGGTTCGCAGGCCAGCACTCAGTCCACTGAGCCACACCAGCCAGGGCTAAGGTGACTCTTTCTAAATTGTAATTACTTAAAACAATCAAAAGGTTTGTTTTAATTTCTTTAATGGTCCTGCAGTAGGAAAAAATAATTCACCTCAGCTTCTAACTTTCCAAATTATGTTATAGGCATAGAAAAAAATTTAAGAATGTATTTTCTTATCATCAAAATCTTGACACGTGAGTGGAAGCCCCGAAAAGTCCAAGGCCATTTACATTGTAAACAGTATTTGCTATAGCAAGTACAGGTTTACAAAAAAAATTTTTAAGCTCTCTGGGTGCATTTCCTTCCCTACTCCATCCAACTACTTTCTGAGATTATTCTGGCAGGAAAGGTGCTTCAGTGTCCAGGATCTTCAGCTGCATCCACATTCACGTCTCTGTCAACATTCCACAGCTGTTTACCTGGGCAAGACCCCTGATGGGGCGGGAAGGGCGTGCTCTGGCTGAGGCCCACCTGCTGGGTGCGCAGGGGTGTTCTGCACGCACTGAACGCTCTGAGCCTCTGGGACTGCTGGTGTTGACATTGTGCCTTTCCCCACTCCATCAAGACCATTATTACCCAGTCCTTACGGATGTTTTTAGATAGCCAGTGCAGTAACCTTACAAACCCTTCAAATGAGAGGCTACTCCGCCACAAATGGTCAGCAAAGGACTCTGTGAGTGTTTCCTCAGGGTCAAGCCATCGTCCGGCCCCCCACGCTCACTCACCACCTCCTGTTCAGGTTTCTAACCGCAGCTCATTCTCAGCCTTCCTGGAGCCTCTCAGCCCTGTGTCCGACACACTGGCTCTGCAGCTCAGCACATCAGCCAGGGCCTGGAGAGAGTCTGCTCGAGGCTGTGTCTGCAGCTGGCAGGCCCTGTGATTACCCTCCACACACTTCCCTAACTGCATCTTAAAACACAACCCACTGTATCCCCTGTGGGTCCCAGAAAGAGCATAGACCTGGGGCTGCAGACACGAGGCAGTGTGGAAGGCTGAGGCTAGAGAAAGGGCACATGCTAGATGCCCAGTGTCTGTAGCTAGTTGCTTTATTCTTCTTTGAAATAAATTATTCTTCCTCTTGCATGGTCCAAGTTCTTTCCATTCTTACCTGGTTATACTCTGCTGTTTGTCTCATATCACACTGGGCAACAGGGTCCTTTTAAAAATTGAGGATTTCTAATTCTATGTGACGAAAATTCAGCTCTCGGACAGAGTCCCAACAGAGGCTGAGTCACCACCCTCAGCCTCTGCCTGCAGTGATGGGCCACTGGAAGACGGCCTCAGGGCCCCAGCTGAGGGAAGGATCAAACAAAACCAGAGGGGTTAGGTGGAGATAAGCAAGGGCCAGCTACCCAAATTAGAGATAACCCCTAAGGTTGCTTCCAGGCCTGAGATACCACAAGTTTTTAATCTTTCTCTGTTTACTTCATTGATCCAGATAGCCTAGCCAAAGCCGGGAGAGGCCAGCCGGCTCCACCACGGTTGCATTGAGCAATGACTGGCTGGGATTAATAGCTCTGGCCTTTGAGCTATTATCACGGAGCTGGAAGAGACCTTGAGCCCATCTCGGTGGAAATTTCAAGCCTTGCATGCAACATCCACCGGGCCAGCAGCATGTCATGTATGTTCATTTAAAAAATATTCCTCAATAATTTCCAACTCAAAGACTTTGTTGTTTTGTCTTAGCTTTAGTTTTAATTCATCTTAAAAATATTTCTTTGCCATCTACTGTAGAAAATGCTCAGTGTCCATTAAGTTCTTTCAGGGGACATTTATTCTTTAATCTAATGACTTTCCTACTTGGAAATCAGGAGTGGGAGGCTGTGGGCAGGACATCCCAGCATTTGACAGTCTGAGTTAAACATCCATGCTGCCTGCTAGACATAGTCTTGTGATTAGAGTGAAGAGTAGGAGATAGTGTTCGAGTGAATCAGGCGGGGTCGGAGAGGAGTAGCCTGAGACAGGACAGCCAATAGCCCCATGGTAAGGTGAGCAGGAACAGGCTCAGATCTTCCCACGAACCTATGGAGGATATATGAATAAATGAAGGCAACGTAGTGAGCAGAGAGGAGGAAAACCCTCGAGATAGGAGGGCTGGGTGTGAGCATCACAGAAAGGAAGCAGGAAGCTGCTTTGGCAGGGTCCACCCAATCCCATGTGCATTAGTCAGAGTTACCGAGTATGGAGGCCTACCATTATGAGTGTCACGGAAGAAAGAACTTATTATAAGAAATCAATCTTACACAATTGAGGGAGGAGTAAAGATCTGAATGTCTGCAAGGAGGTGTCGAAGGCCCACTGAATGGTCACTAACCACCCCCGGTGCAGGTGAACAGAGTGGAACTTGCAGAAAGCGAGGCAGGTCTGGCTGTTGGCATGGGGCTCGTTCCTACAGCATCTTCAGGAGGATGCTGGTTCTTGTAGATGCTGCCTGTGTGAGTGTGTAGCAAAACATCTGATAGCAGGCGTGGAGTCACCGTTGGTCCACAGGCCAACAGTAGGGAGCAGGGAAGAGCGAGAACACACAGGGGCCAGCCTTCATCTTTGTGTCCCGCCCCCCCCACCAGCTCCAGCCAATAGTGGCCGTCAGAGCAGGATGGCCACTGCTTCACTGCTGCCTGCCACATCTGATGCAACTTCAGTTTGGCCAGCTCTAGCCAGAATCATACAGAGAAGGGGGTGCTGGGAAGTACAGTTCCCAGTGTAACCAAGGTGACTAAACAATCCAACTCTCTGATCAAGTAAACATTAGGACACACTCAGTTCTTACAGAGCCCCAAATTCTTGAAGTTTCAAAAAAAAAATATGGTAGCCCTGGCTGGGTGGCTCAGTTGGTTGGAGCATTGTCCTGTATATCAAAAGGTTGCGAGTTTGATCCCCAGTCAGGTCAGGGCACATACCAAGGCTGTGGGTTCAATCCCCGGTTGGGGCATGTACAGAAGGCAGCTGATCTCTCTCTCTCTCCCCTCCCCATCTCTCCTCCTCCCTCCTCTCTTTCTAAAATCAATAAATCCTTAGGTAAGGATTTTTTAAAAAACATGATAAAGAGGAAAGCTTGTCAGAGTGTTTCTGTTTATCAAGACTCTGGGTTACAAGTAACAGAAATCCTAAAACAAACTTAAGTAAAAAAGAAGCTTTTGCAAAAGAGTCTTAGGGTAGGCCAAAGAGTCCAAAGACTAGTTGCTGGACAACGCCAGGACAGTCCGATGGAACTTGACACCGTAAAAACTTACTCTCTCCTTGCTTGCTTCTCCGTTTCTCTTAGCCTCATCTCTGGGTGGTGGCCTCATCCTCTCAGCATTCCCACGTGGCAGCTCTGATGCCACAGTTCTATAGCAACTTGACCAAAAAGAATACATAGTTTTAACCCACCGGCTTTATTTAGAAAGATGCCTGTTTGGGGGTTTTTTATTGATCCTTGAATGAATCCTCAGACCAATTGCTAACGTGAGGGAAGTGGGGTGTCATTATGGTTAGGCCAAGGTCACATGTCCATCCCTGTGGCCCAGCAGTACAGGTCCATGTTCTCTGACCAACAGCCCAGAACCATATAGAGAAAGAAAAGAGTGGTTCCTTCAAGGAAGGAAGTTCTCTTCCCAAAAGAGGGGCAAGAGCTGCGAGGCAGACACAAGTAACAGCTGTCTACCCTGGCGTCTCAGGGACTGAGTGGAATATTCTTCAAATTCCATCTTCTCAGTCTTCTACATTTTCTTTAACGCTCTGGCCGCTGAGCAAGTTTCTGATGACACTCAGTTGGCATTCCAAAGGGAACTGTTACATAGACGGAAATATGGTGTAAAGGGTGATGGTCAGACAATAATCATCTTAGAGCCATAGATTAAGCAACTTGCTCAAGGCCACTTAATTATTTTAACAAGGGGAACTAGGATGCTGACAGGATGTCCTCAGGGAATACATGAACGATCTGATTTATAGATCACCGCGTGGGGACTGGGGTTGGGCTCTGAATCCGTTTCCCAGGGCCTGAGCATCTTAGTTTTCTGAACCTGAAAGAACAGAGCGATGACTCAGAGGCCACGGTCATACCTCCGTGCTCGTCAGCTTCAGAACTCATCAAACCCTGGACTCCACACATTTTGACGAGAAAAAAAAAAGCATTTTGGCACTTGGCGCTTGCTTGGAATACATTGATTTCACCACTTGTCATGAGTTCCAGAACAAGTTAATGTGGAGTACCAAGGTACCACTGTACTTGGAATCTGACTTCAGCCTGTGGGGAGGTGGAGATGGTTCGTGGTGTGTGTGTGTGTGTGTGTGTGTGTGTGTGCGCGTGTGCTGCAAGGTAAGAGAAATGTCACTGAGGTAGTAATATAGATCTTTTCTAGGGGAAGGAAAGGGACCTGAGATTAGGGTTTTGGGTGCTCTGAAAAAGGTAGGCAATTTTATTGTTCTTTAGGTTTGACCTTAGTTATCCACTCTAAACAGAGTTTAAGACTCCCTTTTAGTTAACAGTGTAATTTACTTCTCTCTTTTGTCTCATCAGTGGTTTCCACTGTGCACCTGTGGAAATTACCTGGGGCGCTTTTAAAAATGTTCCCAGATACTAGGTCTGACCCCAAACCCTCCCTCCCCTCACCTCTTATCTCCCCTCCTCAGCCCCCAATGTCAAGCTTCATGGACGATGCCGGCGCACGGGGAAGATGGAAAACAGCTCCTCGGGTGGTGCGGCGCGGCGCTCTCCAGCGTTCTGAGGGACTGTGTGTGCGTTGTCTCGCCTGATGCCCCACGACTCTGGGAGGAAGGCCAGGCTGGGGGACTGAGGAAATGACAGTTAAATGATGTTTTGAAGGTCAGAAACTTGTAAGTGCTGTAACCGTGTGGACTGGAACCTGGTTCTTTGTTTCTCATCCATCAAAAAAGGCACCTCAGGCTTGGTCTTGCTCCCTGTGGAGGAGTGACAGGTGAAAGAGGCCTGACTAATAAGAATAGGGCCGCGTCTACACGTCATGGATCAAAGTAATACTCTCGAGTAGTACCGGGAAATGAACACCGGTCTAGACAGAACCCACACTAAAGTATCCCACCCATGTATTGTCTCCTTGCCTAACGAAGGTGCCCGCTTTCCCTGCCCCGGCTATTACTGCTGTGTGACCTTAGGCACACTGCTTGACCTCACTGTCCCTTGGTCTGTCATCTGTAGCATGAGAGTGTTGGGCTTGGGTTCCTTTTATTCTTTGCCACGTCGTTGTATCTGTTCAATGAAGAGCGCTTGGCCATGATGTGATTGCACAAGAGCTGAAAAGAGCCCTCTGTTTTCTTCATGTCTGTCAGTGCCTTGTCCTTGTCCGTCAGGCAGAGCCTTTTCTGTTGCAATCTGGTATTTTTAAAAAGCTTAAGAAGTGATGCTCCCTGGAAAGGGTGCATTATGACTCAGACCTCTTCAAGGGAAACGTGAAAATGATTGACAGGAAGGGATGAGGAGGTGTACAGAACAGAAAGCAGGGAGGCCGTGCTGAAGCGTGCCCGCAGGGACTGGCATTGGTAAAAGAGAGGAGTGCCAGCAGTATTTGGTTTATTCCAGTTCCAGGGGAGGTGGGTAGGTCCTGGAGAGGTTACTGGGTGAAAATTTGCACCCTGATCCCTTCTGCCCTAGCCCTTCTGAAAGGCTTTAAGAACCTTTCCTCCAGATTTTTCACTGCCCTGAGCCCAGTAAGCATGAAATGGGCACTAGAGTCCTAAGTGAATGAAACATTTATGTTGGCCCTTGCCAAGCCTGGCTACAAGAGCGGGAAGGAAGAACCCAGAAGCTAAGAAGCGAATACAAAGAGAGACACAAATCCCTAAGGATAGTGTCAAGAAGGTTAAAGCCCTTACAAAGAGGAGCCTTGCCAACCATGACAAGGGTGATAAGAAGGCCCACTGGGTCACGTTCAGAGCCAGAAGACGGGCTAGTCCCACAGCCTAGTCAGTGTTAATAAATGACAAAGAGACAGAGGAGACATTCAGCTCCCAATTGCTTGCTCTCTTTTCACTATTGAAGACATGGGCGAGTCTCCGAATCCCCAGGCTGAGCTCAGGGCCTGGCACATAGTAGGAGTACAATAAAAGTTTCTTCAGTGAATGCAAAATGAATGGGAGGAGAATGAAGAGGAGAATGTCTTTCAAGCTGAACAGAGACCCCAGGATGGTAGAAAAGGTCCTGAAAGGAGAGTCTGTGCTGTGGATTCAATTCAAATCAAGTGCAAAAGCTCATTGTTGTGATGATTTCCTGAGGAAAGAGACTGAGATGGAGAGTGTGTGCAGGAAGTTTGCTGAGCGCGCCCTTGGGATCCACACCTGTTGTCAAGTGAAGGGAGTGGAAGTGGACAGAGGGGTGCATTGAACTGTGATGCAGGTGCAACAAAGGTCTGTAGCCAGTCCCAGGGGACTGTCCTTCGGAGCTGGCTCACTGTGAGGTGGCTGCGTCTCCATCCACCTGTCACTGGATATAGGCTACATTCCTGGAGGGGAAGTGACCATGCACTACCTGTGATCTGTCAGCAGTCAACACTCCGATCAGTTGAGGGAATGAATGACTCAGTCTTGAAGCAGGGATGTGTGGGCATACCACAGCATCTACTACAATCATTAGCCCAGTCTGAGAAGAGGCATCAGTTGTGGTGCTTCAGAATTTGGAACATTTCATGGAAGTGACGCAGAAGCGGGTTTGAGATTCTTCATACAAAGAACGCCCTAAATTATATAAAGATAAAGCTGGAGTGAGCTTCCTAGGAAGGCAACAGGCTCCCCGTTCAAGTGGAAACCAACTGCCCATGTCTCAGGGCAGGAGCCCAGAGCGGGAGGCGCCTGGTCCAGAAAGTCCATGCCAAACCCCAGGTGGTATGACTGTCGGCTGACGTTAGAGCAGAAATCACAGAAATCAGACACGAGGCCATTTATTTACGAAGCTTCACCCTTATCCTGGTCAAAGGCAGTGGCCCGAAGTAAATGAGTTCTTGAGATTCCTTTTATGACTCTGTAAAGAGATACAGCCTTTGCTGTGGAAGCATGATGAATGGACAAGCATTATCAAGTGAACACTAGGTGGATGGCAGGCCCTGGGTATCAGGATGTGGTCTCTCGGCCCTCAGGTTTAAAGTTTAATAAAGAAGAAAGACACGTAATCGCCATATAAAATTAACACCCCTAAATATAGTCACGAGGGGTGGCAAGGGCCCAAAGAGTAAATAATTAATCTGTAATAGTGAAGAAAGCCTGGGGGGGGGGGGCGGAGGGGAAGTAGGGGTGGGAGTTTTCACTTATATCTAAAAGTTGAGAGATGAGGTGAAGGGAGAGATGCCTTGCTCTACATCTTTATGTTGGAGGCTGCATGCCAGTCTCCTGGACTGGCTTTTCTTAAAAATAGATCATATTCTGTCTCTATTGAATAATGTAATAATTATAATCACTTCCATTCTCTAAGGACCTGCTCTGTAAAGTTGTTGTTTTAGATATGGTAACTCATCGAATCTCTTCAATAACCAGGCGAAGTAGTGACTTGTCTCCACGGGGGAGGGACCAGTGACAGGAAAAACCATGGTTGACCTCCTTTGAGATGCCTGCCTGATTCACAGGAGCCAGTGGGAGCTCCCAGCAGCCATCTGTTCAGCTTGAACCCTGCTCTCCTGCCCTCAGCAGACTCAGAGTCTCCCGGGCATCTGGAACTGTGTCCAGAGTTCAGGCTTTCCGAGGGCTGGGGGCTGCAAGAGGGAAACAAGGACCCCGTGGGTAGCTGTATGCCTCCAGGCTGAGACGGAGATTGGAGGAGAGAGAGAGAGAAAACCAATTCCTAGAGATAAGCAGAGATGGGGCGAGCTCACCACATGGTTCCTGGTAGGAAGCCGTCCAACTCCCTGGTCTGGTCCTTCTGGCACCTGCATGCCTCCCTGGACTCCAGCTGAGAGACAGCCCCGTATCTTGATGTTAAAGTGATCCTGTTCACTTATGCTGTTTTAAGTATCTATTCCTTAAAACCAGTAAGTTCTTACTAATACTGGTATTTTTGTCCATCTGTTAAAGAGCCGGGCTTCCAACTCACGTTTGTCTACCTCCAGAGTCCATCCACAGGACCTCCTGGCTCCTTTCTGCCTGCTCCAGAGAGGCAATCTTAGGGCGATACTTCCTAGAGGAAGGTTTGGTGGGGCAGCTTGCTCTTTTTTCATCAAGGTGGCCCCTGTGCTGATTGGGCATCACCTGTCTGATGACCAGCTGCCCTGACAAGGGCAGGGGACTGCCCAGCAAGAGTCCAACTAGTTCATACAGTTCAGTGGTTCCCCATCGTTGCCTTCTCCCTGGATCACGCACCTCTCCTGCAAAGGGCCGCTTTCCAGGTTTTAAAGGCACGCCACAGAAACGGTTGCTGTGGAGCTTGGGTTTCTAGGGTTACACAGCACCTCACACCGTAAGCCTGCCCTTTACACAGTGCTGCTCCCTCCCTCATGAGAGCTGTCACCTTCGCCCTTGACAGCCTCCTCTTGACCTTTGCCTACAGACTCCTCCTCACCTGGTTGGAATCGCCCTGAACCTTGTCCCAGTCTGTGATAGCTCTGATGATTTATTCGTGCTTTCGTTTGCTTAGCTGCCTGTCTCCCACTTCTAGCTGTGACAGAGGCCCCTGTGTCCTATTTGTTTTTGTGTCTCTAGTCCCTATTGCAGTGAATGGCACATAGTCAGAGGGAATGATTGAATGAATAAGTGAATAATTAAACAAACTCATTTCTTTCCCACATTCATTTCATTCACCTGTCTCTTCACTCTGACATATTGACTATGCTATGTTTTATTTTAGTACTAATGTTTCTTTTAGGATAATTTTGTCTTCCCCGTTTTTTTTGTTGTCCACCTGGAGGACGGTAAAACAAAGGCCTTCCTCCCAGTCTCCTTTTCATACCCAGCACAAGTCTTTACAAACAACTGGTGCCAATTCATTGCATGGGAGAGTGTGTTTTGTTATCCTTTCACAGGGGATTTCTCAAATGTCGTTCTTTATTGTCCTGTCCTTTTTTTCCTCTTCCTGTGGCTGGCCACCTCCTGACAGTGGACATAAAGCTACACAGGGCTTTAGATTCAACACCAGTGACCTTTGGCTTAGGCACCCCAGACAGGAATTTACTCAAATATTCAGAAACAGAAGCATCTATTTAATCGATCTGATTGAACTTTGGAAAATCTATCACATCACATTCCTGAACTTTCCAACCTGCCTGAACTGAATAAACCAGAACCCGAGTGGCTGCTGGGAGGTGGCCACTGTCCCCGCCAGCCAACCACTGGTGTGCATGGTGCAATGGGCGAGCTCCCCACCGTACTCCCACACCCTGCCTGGCCATGCACACTCTCACCTTTGCCCCCACCTGCTGCGGCTGTGACAGGCTGTGTTTCCTTTCCACTGCTGGGTGAGAGAGTGGTTCAACAAGATGGACTTGGGCCAGACAGTCCATGAGGCTAGAGAGGTCAATGGTCAGAAGGAGCTTGCTCACCAGGAGAGGCCTTGATAAGTAAGAAGTGGCTCTTGGGGTGTTCAATTAGCCATGACGGCCTTATGTCGTTCAGGTTACCACTCCCCACTGGGCAACCTGGGGCACTACCTTGGTGCTGCTCTTCGAGTCTGTGGGCTCTCTGGGCAGCAACAGCTCCCTCTGCTATCCTGGATCATTATCACTTTCTTTTAGGTGAGCAAGAACAGTCCCTGGAGAGGTACACATATATTAAAAGTGAGGGGAGCCCTGACCAGCATGGCTCAGTGGGTTAGGCGTCATCCCACAAAGCAAAGTGTCGCCTGTTCGATTCCCAGTTAGGGTACATTCCTGGGTTGTGGGCCAGGTCCCTGGCTGGGGGCATGTGAGAGGCAACTGATCAATGTTTCTCTCCCTTTCTTTCTTCCTTCCCCTCTCTCTAAAAATAAAAAATATTTTTAATCTAAAAAAATGTGAGGGGAATGTTGTTCATTAGCCAATTGGATTTTCCTTTTTATGCCCATTCAAAGGTTCTGAATAGAGTAATATATCTTTCTCATATTAATTTTTAGGAATTCTCTCATGTAACAATTAATCATTTACATACTGTTGCGAATAATTTCTCCCACATTCTGGGCTTATATTTTCACTCTTAATTGGTCTTTTGATGAATAGGATACTGAAATTTAATGTGGTTAAGCTTAATTTTTTTCATTCCTCAGTCTGTAACTCTCCCTGTCTGCAGTTGGCATTCAGAATCTCTGAGGGGTGATCCAAGTAACTGGCTGGACACAGTGTAGTGCAATGTGGTTGCATGATACTCCCACACAAGACCGTTTCCTGGGCCCCGGGCAGCTTATCGGACCTTTAGGACCAGTGCCAACTCCAGCCTTATTTGCTGTCCCTGAGATAGATGAGTGCCATTTAAAACAAATGATGGAGGCAAGAGGAAATTAGACAACGCATATTTATTCAAGTCAAGACATATTACTCACTGACAATAAGCTCTTAATAATCCACATCAAGAGATAAATGAAACAAACAGAAACTTCTCAGAAATGTTATCATTCTATAGTATGGGACTTTGCACCTCAAATAGCCGGTGATGAAATGTTTAATAACAATAATCCATTCTAACGTGTTTTGTGGACAGATGTTTATTGATTAGATGGTGGTGATTCCAAAGTTATCACCAGGAAGTAATAAACTTCATGAAAGTATGTTGGAATGATAAGTGCAATTGCAACCCTAAATGTGGCCGTCCAAAGTCTAGAAGAAGGACAGTCAGTGAGTTCAGATGTGCTAGTTCCCGCTGAGGAAGTTTCAAGGAAGAGAGGGACTGGACAGACATGAACATTCCTGTCACAACAGGAAGTTCTGTTTTAGTCTCAGCAAGTAATCCACTCCCACCAGAAGCCCAAATGAGGAGGAAGCTGGTGGGGCCTAGTGAGGGGGAACTTGCTCCAGAGAGCCAGAGGGCAGCCATACTAGAATCACGGGCTCATCCAACCCAGTCGGCATTTATTGAGTATCTGCCATGTGACTGATAGAGTCCCTGTATCAATTAAAGATAGAGTCCCTGTATCAGTTAGGACTCTTCATGTTACAAGTTACAGAGAACTAGGCTCCCTCTCAATAAGCAATTTTTTGGGGGGCTCATGTAACTGGAATTTCGGAGGTAAGGCAGTCTTCAGCGTTGGATTAATTGGGTGGCTTCTGAATCACCCCCCTTCTGTGCACTGGCTTCATCTTCACGTTGTCCTCCCAGACTGTGGCCAATGGCATTTCTAGACACGGGGATTTACAAAAGAGAGGAAAGTTTTTGTGGACATTCACTTTTAAAAGCAGAGGCACTTCTTTCCCAGAAGTGCCTAGCAAAGTTCATCTCATTTCTCATTGGTCTGCCTGGGTCACGTGCTCCTTTCCAAACCAATCTCTATGTGGAAAGAAATGTCATGCATTTATTGGTTCAGACACCCAGGCCTGAGCCGGTTTGCTTGGCAAGCATCCTGGGAATACCCCTAGGTGGTAAAACCCCACCTCTTTAGCTGTGGCGTGGGATCATCTCTCCCAAAGCCAACAGGCCAGAGAGTAAACATCTGGCTGAAAATTAGGGTACTTACTGTCAGGGAGTGGCAGATAGTATACTCGTGCTGTTTTCCTGTTACAGCCTCAGTCTGCAAGAAGCTTACAGTTTAGGGGGAAACAGGGTTGTAATCTACTCATAATGAAAAATGACATGGGAGATACAAAGCACTATGGGAAGCTGGCGGAGAGGGCTGTTCATGGCACCTGAGGGATCAAGGAGCAGGTCATGACAGATGCATTTCTGAAAGATATTGAAGTAGAAGTACATTAGGCTAAAGCTGTTGGGTCCAGAGCACAGGAGGGGAAGTGTAGTTTAGATGAAGGAGGCAGGAAATTAGTTACATTTATAGGAACATTGAAACATCCAAGTGAAAATATCTAGAGAAAATTTGGGACCAGACAGGGATGGAAAGGTTGTGTTGGAAGCCATCAATATAAGAGAAATAATGATAATAAGGCCTACCTTTTGTTTAACATATATACACTTGTATACTTACATATCATCTTTATTATGTACTATTTATATATATACTATTTATAAATATATAAATATATACACAAACATATAGTATATATTTATATGCTATTTATACACTATATAACATATATATTATATATAGTAGTGAGGTATCCAGAAGGTATCCAACGATGTAATGTGAATAATAGAGAAATTTATTGAAGAAGATACAAGAAACATTGTACAGTACCCTTCAAAATAGGCACCGTGGGACCTCACACAGTTCTCCCAATCGCCATCAGCTGCCCCATCATATTTTCCTGAATCTCACTGATGGTGTGAAATCTTTTCCCATTCAAAGGTGATTTTAGTTTTGGGAAAAGCCAGCAGTCACAGGGCACCAGATCTGGGCTGTAGGGGGCTGAGTCACCTGGGTGATTTTTGCCATTTCACCAAAAAACTCTGCACGAGACATGATGCATGCATGAGTGGGCATGTTGTTGCAATGAAGCTGCCTATCACCAGTTGCCCATAGCTGTGGTCTTCTGAATAATCCAAATAGTTTCCATGGAGGAATGTTCAAGCCTAATGAGAAATTTGATGCAAATTCGCTGCTCTGCTTGCTTGGTCATTTTGAAAGCCATAGCTGCACAGTACCTATGCTCACCCAATGGTGTCTGCCACCCCCACTGACTAGTACAGTGAAGTCATCATTGGTCATGCATGTGCATTCTAGTCCACTCTCTTTGGCTGCCAGGTTACACTGATGCCACACAAACCATTCTTGTTATATTAACAATGGCTGAACTTTTTCTGGACAGACTGTACGTATATATACATATATACACACACGATATATATAATATATACTATTTATAAATATACTATATATAAATAGTGTATACATACACTATGTACAGTGTATCTATAAATAGTATATATTACATATAGTATATATTATATATAAATAGTGTATGTATAATTATCTCAATTTGTAATTCAGAATAGGGGTTTGAACCCAGCTCTATCGAATTCCAGAGTCTGAGTTGTTCTTCGTATTTTTTTAGAGAGAGGGGAAGGGATGGGGAAAGAGAGGGAGAGAAACATCGATGTGTGGTTGCCTCTCGTGTGCACCCTACCGGGGACCTGGCCTGCAACCCATGTGCCCTGACTGGGAATCGAACTGGCAACCCTTTGGTTCACAGGCTGGCACTCAGTCCACTGAGCCACACCAGCCAGGGCTCAGAGTCTAGTTCTTAACAATACACTCTGCAGCTTCCTGGGGAAGTGGAATGACACACCAACAGCAACTGCTCTCTTCATCTTGTCAACAACCCTGTGAAGTATTATCGTCTGCATTTTTTCAGATGAGGAAACCAAGGCACAGAGAAGCTAAGTGACTTGCCCAAGGTCACAT